AAAAAAATAAATTAACATTATATAATTATTTATTGAATATTCTTGTAATTTGTAATATGCAAAATTAACACAGTGAAATTTTGCATATTATTCAACGACAATTTAATGTAACATTTTAATGTTATTAACAATTTTTACATATCAAATTAACACACTATAAGATAAAAAATTACAAAAATTAAATAATATAACCATGTTTAAACGATTTTCATTGTACAATATATGTTTGTCTTAATAGAACAGTTACCAATTCTATAAAGTGATGAATTTTTAAATTATAATAAAACAATCGATTTAACAATTAAACAATAATGTTCTTATTGAAATCTTATCATATAAAATATTTTAGTAATTGAATTATATATTTATTATAAATGATGAACATTAAATTTGAATAAAATGAATTATGCGCATTATCTACATAGAAAGTTATGATCATTTTACAACATGAATAAAAAAATGCATTTTAATTATCATTTTTTACTTATAATAATAAATCATTTATGTTAAAAAACTGATATTATAAACTATTCAATTAATCTTTCAACATGTTTATAATTTTGTTAATACTTATTACTGTACAAAGTTGTTATTTTATTATTTTTTTAAAATTTTGAATTTTATTGTTAAAATAAATGTATTGTAAAATGAGTAGCATTGGTCATTCAACGTGCCAAACAATGACGATATAAGCTGTTGATTTGTCTGGAATACAATACATTTGAACAAATTTATAATAAATACAAACAGTTGAAGAATAATGACATCGATAAGAACATGATAATAACGTCTTTTGTATTTGGATGATCAACAAAAACATTAAATTAAACAATACAAAACATTAACAGTATATTATTTTAAATCATAAACCAATAGAAGTTTACACTTTACTTTGTTTAAAATCAAAAACACAACAATAAATACATTTTCAATATATAGACAGTAATATTTAAATAAGGTACAATAAATAGTATATTAATATATCATTTAAAATAGCTTATATTTTACATAAAAATGGAAATTAATAAACACAAAATTATGACTTTATGTATTTAAACTTGTTTTTTTTGTAAAAAAACATTTTGACATTTAAACAAAAGTAAGTAAACTCATTACTGATTCCAACTTCAATACATTTTTGTTGTTTAAAAATACTTGACAACATATCGACTACAATATTGAAACATGTTTTCAAAAAAAAACATAACTATAATTTCTAATTCTTGTTAATCCTTAGACTTCTAAAATGATTATAATATCTAATGTACATGTTTGTGTAAGTGGCAAGTATAATCCTAAAATTGGTGTAGACTGTGGTATTCTCTTGATTATAGTGTTATCTTTCAATTTTTTAGTTTGATGTAACATTTTTATACACTAAAAAGTTAATATTTTTAATATTTTAGGTAGTTTTCTTAAACATGAGTGTAGCAATAAACGGTAAAACCCAATACACCAACTGTTGTTATCAAATTATTGATAATTAATAATTAATAAATACTTCCATTTTTATTAATTATTCTTAATAAAGTAAGGCGAAAAAGTTGCACATGGAGAAAAAGTTTCATCACATTCTTTATTATTTATTTCTGATTTTAAATTGAATATAGGTGCATCGGCAAAACTTGACCTTGTATTATTCAAAAATATAGATAAAAAGAATATTCTTATTATATTATTGGTCAGAGAATTGGGTTTCACAACTATTTTAATATTATATAAATACAAATAATTTATTTAATAAGTAGTGTTTTTGGCCATCTTTTAATATTTAATTGAATATTTTAACAAGATTTAATACATTTTAACTTTAGAAAGTTTTTTTTTCAAATCAAATACAAATCGATGATAAAAAATATAATAAAATAATTATATTTTAAATTAAAATATTAAACATAAAAACAAATTTTTTTTATTTAAAATATTAAAAAAATAAAAGAAATTTAAAAAAATAAAACAAATTAAATTGATCGGAGTAGTATATATATTGTGCTGATTCCGGGGCACTACGTTCCCCACTCCATAAGCACAATATAGAGTAAAAAACCATATATTTATTTTTAAGGAATTATTTTTTTTATCTATTATTCTAAAGTGATAATTTTATTTTTTATTATTCTTAAATGGACGTATTTCTTACAACTTGAAAATATTTTAAATGATATTTATTATCCTGATGTTGACAACTGTTTTGATAAAGACGGTAACATTATTGAAGACACTAAATCAATAATTGATAACAGACAACTCAGAATGATTAACAAACTTAAAAGTATTGGAATTTATTATAAAAAATAGACTAGAAGATGATATGTTTGAGTATAAAGTTTATCGTGAATCTCCAAAATACATTAAAAAACAGCCATTAGAATCAATCTTTTTATCAAAAATATATCAAAAACTAGATAATAATGATGATAAAAACAATTTCGGATTAATTAATAAGAAAACAACTTTAATTAAAGATTCAGTTGATTATCAAAAAAAATCTTGATAAAACTAATTTAGAATATATGTTAGAACACAATACTGTAATGGAAGATGAATCAATTCCACAGGAATATTATGATTATAGCAACGAACAACTAAAAAATGAATAAGAACATGAATATATGATTGAAAACTATGATGATATTAAAAACAATTTAGATTATAGTTTAAATAATAATGAATATGTTGATGAAGATGAAAATCGAGATAGTATTTATTATTCATATGAACCTTATAAACGATCAATAAATGA